TAAAAAGAAACCCGAGTTTATCTTCCACACAAATCGCACCGAAAGTTAAGGACGAGTTGGGAAAGGATGTTCATTCGGCAACGGTCCGGAGAGCAATGCATAAGCTAACTCTCATTCTCGTGTAGCTATACGCAAACCACTATTTTCAAAAGTGAATCAGAAAAACGTTTAGCCTATGCTAAGAAGTATTTAAACAAATCAATTGACTTGTGACAATATACTCTACTCCACTGAAAGTAAATTCTATATCTTTCTGATGGCTGTCAAACTGTTTGGAGAAAACCTAACACTGAACTTCAAAAAGAGAATCTTTCTGCGACTATAAAACATGGTGGTGGAGGAGTCATTGTATGCGGCTGCAGATGTGGGCGAGCTGGAATTTATTGACAGCATTATAGACAAAAAATACTGCCTGGAAATTCTTAAGAACTTAAATTGTTAGTCATTTACAGTTCAGCACGACAATGAACCGAAGCATACCGCTCATGATGTGCATATGTGGCTTGCATACCACAAAACACACACTGCCGCATCCGCACCAATCGCTTTATCTAAGCCCAATTGAACATTTAAGGGAAGATATGGATGGGCGGAATTAAAATTATTTTCAAAAATGTTCAAAATCAGGCCTAAAAGTTGAACAATCTTGCTGTGCCAATACTTTAGTTCATCACTGTACATATGTAAATATGTAAATGAATTTATAAAATAAAATATATAATATATATTATAAATATTAATTACTTTAAAGTAAAAATTATGATTAAAAAAATGTAAATATTTTATGAAGAAAATGTAATATAAAAATGGAAAAACTTAAAATAACAAATTAAGAACTGGAAAGTATATTCCTACTCCAAGTATGGCGCCTCTACAAAGCCATTTCGTTATAAAGGTCTGGATTACTTCGGGCCGTTCATCGTTACCGTTTGTCGGACCACCGAGAAAAAATGGGCGCCATTATACACCTGCCCCACCGTTCGTGCTGTGCAACTAGAGCTGGCACACGATCCCAGTACAGAATTTCATTAACCGACGTGGTGCTCCGCTTGGGATTAGCGACTAAGCGTTTTACGGAAATTTCTGACTGTCGGCGAGTCCGGGATGAGTTAACTCAAAAAGGTGTAGACCGGATATTCAACGCACCGTTTAGTGAACATACGTTAAACTGACTCCTAATTGAAGCAGAAAATATTGTATTTTTGCACCCACTAACCCATTTGCCGGTTTCCAGCCACTAACATCCAATGACTTTTTGTTGGGATCACCTAACGCAGTGCAAACGTCTGGTGCAGCCAGCCGCCGTAATAAAGAGGTTCTGCGTCAGCAATGACTTTTCAACTGACAGCTGAGGGATCACTTCTGGAAGCGGTGGGTATCTGAATATTTGACTACGTTGACTGGCCGAGCTAAGTGGTGTGAGAGGAACACGCCAATAAAGAGTAATGATCTTGTTTATATATGTGACCCAAATGTACAACGTAGAGAATGGTGCCGTGGAAAAATGGAGCATCTTTATCCTGTACGGGACGGTGAAATCAGACGAGCGGATATCTCAGCGACCAGCAGCATTAAACAGCGTGCTGTTTCTAAACTCGCAATTTTAGATGTTAATCGAAAGATCGAAGATGTGAATCGCAGCGATCAACGGGACTGAGATGTTACCGACTGCCGTTTTACATAACCAGTGTTGTCATCTATGAATACCTATGTTTAGTAAATTCGATTATGCTAACATAATTGTTTTTGTAAATTTACATACATATTAATATGAGCCTTTGTAAATAACCGTTTGCACAGTAAAGTTTTTTCTTTAAAGATAATTTGTTTCCGCGCAATTGGTTTGCTAAGAGTCATGAATCAAAGCACAATGCGGTTAGTATTTTCATTATACGTATTTGCTATTTGTCAACTGATTTTATTTTAGAAATAAACCGACCTATAATATTTGAATCGAGTTAAATTAAATTCGCCAGCGTAACAGTTTTATATTTTATTCACTTAAAATTATGTATTCGTATTTGGTTGATTATTTATACTGAAACATCTTATGAAGTGCAAAGAAAACTGTAATAATGCTGTTATAGTCGAAAAAAGAACTGATAATAAAATAGATAATCCGTCCAACTGCATTCTCTTTCAATTTGTACGTACTCAGAAGATAAACAAAAAAATTTGCTTGTGTTGGCGAACTCATCAGCCCGTTCTTGCAGGGAAGCCTTTGAATATAAATTAAATATTTTAATTTTATTCAAAAATATGTAAAATACTTATAAACAGAAGTATTCAATATAATTATGACATATGTATTCCTTTTTTAAGTTGTAAATTGTTGTAAAAAAAAAAACCATCTATATTACAGATAAAAATTTTTAACTATTACATTGTTCATCTAGCACAAAATAAACTTTCAATTCTCAAGTAATTGGAAAAGACGAACGCGTGTAAAATTGAGTTTTTGTTGTTTACAGTTGTTTTCGCGGTTAGCGCTCGATATTCGTATATATGTAGATCAGTTATAGAAAATATTTTAAATTAACATAATGGATTATTAGATACCCTGAAAATCTTGACAACAAATTTATTAAAGAGTCAGTTTTGTTTCGTTGGTTTTTGGATTAGTTTTAAAACTAATGTCATGCAAGTAATGATGTAACGATTTTTGTCGAAATTTCATAAAAGAATCACTTTTTAGTTTAGTTTAAGCAGTGAGTTTTTTTAAGATGATTACCTCTCAAATTTAAATTATATATACAGGCCTATTCTGTCGAGGTAGCAGAATTTACTTTGGTATTAAAATTTACCATTCAGTAAATTTTGTTGCTATTTCGAATTCTGAGCTCACTGTTACCAGCGAAATAGGAGGTAACAAAAATATCTGATGTTTGATTTTGTGTTGTAAGTTTGGAAAAAAATAAAAAACCAAAATGGATAGGCATATTTTAGGCCTGGAATTCATTGAAAATGAAGAAAAAAGTGCAAAAAGCCGTATTTTTAGAAGTTTTCGAGACTAAAAAATAGGAGTTTAATTTGTAAGATATCGTTTTCATTTAGCTTTTTTTGTTGTCCAGGCATATTTTCCATAATTACGATCAAATATTTATGATTTAATAAACAAATTAATAAAACTTTTTAATTTTTTTGTGCACTGTCTTCGATTTCGATGTGAATATTTTTCTTTTTACTTTATCAACTGGCAAAAGTAATTTGACATGGACGAAAAAAGCAGTGCTGCCAAATTTTTTTCAAACATTTTAACCAGTTCGCCAGAATACCAAATTTAATTTCGGGTGTTAAAGAAAAGAAAAAAATTTACTTTACCGGTAACAATGAGAATAGGCCTGATATAATTGGTGCTTTGTAACTGCTGAAGCGAATTTCGGCCGAACTTCTTTTTCAATTTGTAGCGAGAATTATTGTGGTGTGATATGATTTCTTTAAAAAAAAAAGTACACTAATTTTTAAGAAATATAACAAGACCTCCAGAAGTTATCGAATGGTGTTAAATCACAACTTCTTGGAGGCCATTCAATGTCAAAATTTCTTAAAATGAACAAATCTCCAGGTCTTTCTCCCTATAATTCGGTTGTTGATGTGATGTTTGACACGTAGCCCCTTGTTGTTTAAGCCTGGAGGGGAATTCTCTATCGTATTTTAGCGATTTCCGAATTGCTAAAATGGCTTAACGATAATTTTAACGATTTCGCTATTCTATACATCCCTTATAACGATTTTCGGATCGCAAAAATTCTAACGATTTTAATATTCGGTGTACTTCTATTAACGATATTCGCTCTCTCTGTTGTCGTAAGCTACTCGAAAAATCGCTAACTAGGCTACGAATATTTTTAAGTTGTTAGCGATATCGACAAAATATTGTTATTTCATTAGGGTTGCAATGAAGTATAGAAAATCGAGAAATTGCCTAAGATTTATTAAAATGAAAATAAAATTATAAACAAAAATAGCTTTTGAGCATTTGACATATGTTTTATTCCAAGATGAGGAGGTATTGTACGCTTAAACTTTGTATAGAAATTTGTTTTAGGAAGTTGAAGAATATCGTGAACTAAAAGGCAGTAAATAACAGCATTATCTACGAAGAAACAGGTAGTAATATAGCTTTTAAATATATTTTTAGATTTTACACTATTAAAATGTTTAACGGTTTTAGTCTCCTTGCGATTCTTTACAACTGGATGCTAGCAACGTCCCGTCGGAGAGCAATAGGGAATGCCCATAAGTCAGTCGTCAGTGGGGTATTGTATTCATCGCGTGACAGAAGCAGTCAACCGTTCAATGTTTCCTGCAAAATTACTTCGCCATTTGCTGGAGGAACTATTGTTCTATCGATTGCGAAGAAGCCTATGCCAACCTTCATGAATACCATTCTACCAACGAGCAAACGGTGAGAGTAAATATTTTTCAATTACTATTGAAGGAACAGTTCATGGTTCATTATATTTGTACACAGATATGTGATCCTCGCAAGATTATAGCGGCAAATGCCAAGTACCCAAGAGCGCGGCACAATTATTTTATTTGGAGCTCCTCTACAGAACGACATGAAAGTGCAAACCATAACATGTTTTTGATTTGATAAACTTTGCATTGCTATTAATTTAATAAAAATAATTTCTATAACAAATTTATTTGTTTTTGTCATTCCTCTGTTTACTTTTTGCATATTTTGATGTTTTGTTCAGCTGTGGTGCCACCTTTCCTTCATGTTAATAAAATGTAAATGTCCGTTGTCGATTATCGTAAAAACTGAGTTAGATAATTGTGTCGATAAAAGTTACAGAATTGCACTGCTGATGTTGTGATGTCCAATTTTTTGTAATTGTGTCTATAAAAAGTTTTTGTTATCGTCGATCTATACTGCTTGTGTATATCTTGAAAATGAATCTATATTTCCTAGAAGCATAATTTATTTTGATTATATTAAGCGATGATCAGTTTTAAGGGATTTTAAAATATTATACATTTTTCAATTATAGAGATATTCAAGGTGTCGGACGAGGAGGTATACCTATTGCTGGCACTGCTGGATATTGTGTTGGTTGTTTAAACATTCCAGGTTTGTAGTACTATTTATAATTTAAAAAAAGTCATATATTTACTTATACGTATGTATATATAAATATGTTTAGCTAAATCCCAAGTATATTTAATTCCAGGCTCCTCCAAAAAACGTGTTTTTTTTTCAAAAAAATTTATTTACATATAAGAAAAAATTGTTAATCAAAATTATTATTATTAAATTATTATTATTAAATTATTATTATTATTATTATTAAAATACGTACCTTTTGTTGGTGAGTGACCCGATAACTGAAAAACGAATCATCTGAAAGCAAACATCACATTGGCTAATGTCGGAACTACAATGAAATACAATATTTTCACCAAGAAAAAAACAAAACTTCTAAATTTTGTTTGCCCTTTTCAATTTTAATAGTTTATAGATTTTTAAATAACAATGAATTTTTTTGTTGTAGTACCTACCATAGAGAGACATTTTAGGAGTGGAATGCCTTTAGTCCATATTTAAATATTAGTTCAATAAAAATTCTAAATAAGAGTGTCACTAAGTGGAAAAACGTGGTTTCGAGAAAAAGGCGATTAAAGTACTCTACTTACTCTTGATCTTTCCGACCTTCGGAACTAGTTCTATATTATTTTTAAGAGTATTTTCTAGCAATTTACAGGAAAAAAATTTCGATTTTTTAATTTTTTTTTTTTTTTTTTTTTTTTGGAGGAACCTGGATCAATTTATATAAATAAAAATTCTTGAGGGTTATTTGCTGCCATTATACTGAGGACAAAATTCCGTTGAAATGGGTATATCAGCAGGATAATGACCCAAAGTTGTTGTTCCAGCAAAACCATTTCGAAAAGATGGATTGGTCGGCTAAGTCTCCAGTTCTCAGTCTTATGGAGAAAGTGTTAAGAGTGTTATAGATTCATCAAAACCTTAAACACCTTTTCTTTTTTGTAAAATGAATATATAAATATAGAACACTCTTACGTGTTAAAGTTGTACTTTAAGTTGTCTTAGTTTGTCCATAAATTAATTGGATAAAAACTCGTATGCTGTGAAACTATTTGCAATTTTGCAATTCTGGAAGCCTGCTGCTATTTACAAATTTACAAATAAATTTGGATGGTAACAATAGTTTATGGAAGTATTCAAATGTCGCCAATTTTCGTCGGCTTTACAAATCGGGTGGTAATCAGTAAGTAGAGCAATTCGTAAATATTTTTCATTCCCACTCGACTTCTTTAGTACAAACTGAAGTTATGATCGTCAGCCCATTGAATGCAAACGTACATGCTGTTTGAAGTACTGGAGTTTTGTTTGAAACTTGTGCACAATGGAGTAGACACGCGTATACCTATACTTATTGTATACGCACTAGATATACCGCAAAAGGTAACCCTCAATGGAGAGTCTTACCTCCACAGTGAACACTCTGATTCGGTAACTAGACAGCGAAGGTTGTAACGTGGTAGCATACGCCGATGAATTGCCTTAACAGCGATAGGGAATCTTAATTAGACTATGCCATATCTTATTTGGCAATATCTTCTCCGTAAGAACCCTTGACAGGAATGAATGAAAAAATGCAAATGCTTCGGTCCAGAGTGACGTGGCTATCTTTACGTATGGCTCTAAACTCAATAGAAATATATACTGGGGGGTTCACTCACCAACGCTCAAAACACCTTTTAATTTGAGGTCATTGGACTACTTATTAAATAACCGGAGCCGCAGAATGGACGTTGGGAAGCATTTGAAACAAGGTCTCAGTAAATTATAACACTGCCTGGATGTCTGGACATAGAAATCCTAGGCAGCTATGTGGCAGGTGAGATAGCAAGAGAAGGTACCATTCTAACTACAACAAATTTTACTCACGTCGCGGGCGTACCTTTGCCTCTGGCTTTCTCCAAAATTGCCAACGTGACTAGAAAGCTTTGGTCTGTGATAGACGCTTAAAGATCAAGAAATCTAATCCTCCTTGACCAGTTCCCTGTTAATACAACAACTGGTATACCAACTGGACACTGTTAAATGGGACTTCATAGTAGGAGCATAGTAGTAGATGAGAAGCACACACAAGTCGTATCACAACGGAGAGGACTTTGCTTTTCAATTGCCTGCTCAGTCCAAATCGGCACTTGTTCGCCAGAGTGATTCTGCGCTGAATTTCAAGGTTGACATTGTTGTTGGTGTTAATACTGGTTCTAAGATGGACCCTGTTATCAACGACTTCAAAGTATGACTGTCAACAGGACGCAAGAACTAAGTTGCGATGATTGTTTGTTTGATGACAGGAGATATTTCGCCTTATCCTCGTTCACTATCCAGTCTAGAGTAAGCAGAATTAATGGCGTGGTTGTTGAAGCATATAATGTCAATGTCATCGGCGTACGCCAGCAGCTGTATACTCTAATAGAATATTTTACCTTCTCTATTCAGATCTTATAATTTTTTCCAGCAACAAATTAAAGAATCATCCTGTCTGAAACCTCGTTTTGTATCGACCGGCTCGGAGAAGTCCTTCCCGATTGTGACGGAGCTCAAGGTCAGTTTACAAAGCCGTATAAGCTTTGCGGGGATACCAAATTCAGACATATCGGCATAAAGGCAGCTCCTAATTGTGTTGTCGAAGGCGTCTTTAAAATCGATGAAGAAATGGTATGGACAACCATATTTCAAAGTCAAACCATCTCAACCCATTCAGGGATGCTTTGTTGTGGAGGCTGAATTTTTAGATAGTTGTGCCGAAGATACCCTCCTTGCCCCCCCTGGCGTTAAGGTTGCCAAGCACGATTTGCACATCGTGGCATGGGCAAAGCTCCTGACTACGATCCAGGCGCTCATAAAGGTGCCCTTGGTTACAAGGTCCTTCTCTTCTATCTGAGCATTTGAGCGAATCAGCGATATGTTAAAAAATTTCGTCTTGATGCGGATCATGGCCGGACTTTCATTCACAGTGGTGAGTACCAGGAATCTGCGACGGAGTCTCTCCCACCACGAATCCGACACCAAATTTGCGCTTCTTCATATGAGCGCTGTATTAAATGTCACCTTCTTCTGTCCTTGTCCTGTTCATCGCACTTCTTGGACAGCGGTGATATATCAGTTTCATCCTTACGAGGACATCAACCAGCTGGTCAGCGTCAGCTTCCCAGTTAAGGCAAGAGTAGGAATTGAGTATAGCCCTGCGACTGTAACTGCATCAGAAGCTTGACTACATCCCAATTGACAAATAGCTAGCAAAGAACTAAGATAGTATGCACAAAAAAAAGCAACATGCATGTTCTTCAAATCGTTTTCGTATGAAATTGTCATCGAAAACGTGATGCCATGTGCTGAATTTTACTGTTCCGTTTTCGTTTTCGAATACCAAATCGGAGCAATATGGCATGTGCTAGAAATCATAATCACCATATTTTTCCGCTTTGAAATCGGCCGGCAGCAGGAAAAAGCAGAATTTAGGAAAATATAGGTATACAGATTTTGTTTTGCTAAAATGTAATATACATATAAAGTGAACGTTTACTTTTACGGGCAAACGTAATATACAAACAGGAAATTATTATTAATATTATAAAATGATTGGTTATTAAAGCATCGTTTGTTTACGTTTTGTTGTTGTCATAAGTATTTAATAAAAAAAAACTTAAATTGTTCGCATTCAATTATTCGTACCTTGTATTTGCTGCATCAGCCTGACAATTCCTGCTGTTTCCATGTTATAGGAATATTTTCCATTCTGCTCAACAGCTATAGACGTTGGCTTCATTAGGGCCCATATGTCATTAATAATATTTTTAAATGCTACATTATTTATCATTTAGAACGAAATGAATAAATATTCAGATGACGTACATTAACTTTGGGCACACTACTATTGTAAGTATGCATGTGAATGCACTTACACTACCTCTGAAATATCTAACTTGTTTCGGTCAACTTTCTCGTGTAGTTTCTAGTTATTTCGGTTTATTATATTTTATAAGCAGAAACAGTTAAAACGCTCATAATCACAAAATTATTGTACATAAATATGTTTTTAAAATGTCAGCTGTTTGACTATCACTGGTTTCGAATTTAAGTTCTAACCTGTATAAAATCGAGTGAATTTCATCACACCTCAAACCAATTCGTGCGATTTGTAATTTCGGTACCAAAACGAAATCGTGCAGTTTTCAGCACATGTCCGTATGTTTTTTTTTTTTCAAATGGTACTGAATGCCTATGCCATTATTATTATTTGGTTACAATATACAGGGTCCGCCATCTAACATTTTTTTTAACTAGTGGTTATTTTGAGTGTGGTAACATTGATGTTACATCTAATTTGACAGAAAGTTAGTTTTATCCTTCCGCTGAACGAAAATGGTTGTGTATACGATTGAGGAACGCGTTAAAATAGTGCAGTTTTACTTTGAAAATGTGTGCGAAAATTACGCACGGAAATGAGCCGTAACAAAGCACCGTCCGCTCCGTATGTGCGCTTTCTTTTTGAAAAAATTGAGAGAAACCGGCACAATTATTGATAAACCAACGCGTGAGAAACCAAAAAAAGTGCGTACTGCCGGTAATATCGCTGCTGTGGCCGAGAGTGTGCGTGAGGCGCCCGGAACATCAGTGAAGCGTCGCTCTCAACAATTGGACATTTCCGAGACGTCCCTTAGGCGAATTTTGAAAAAATACCTTGGTATGACACCGTACAAAGTTCAATTGGTTCAACAATTGAAGCCACGAGACCATCCGATGCGGTTTGCCTTTGCCGAATGGGCATTTGTTTTATTGCATTTAAAAAAAAAAGTTACGTGGCGGACCCTGTATGTATATTCTATGTACTTGAGTGGTACTCGGGTATCATATATCATTTTTATTACAATAAATATAATATATAAAGTTCCAAGATAGCTGCCCAAACTCGAATGTGAAATGTTACGTTTCATGATTGTTAATTAATTATTTGGCGACGAGTCGAATTCCTGATTTATTAACCCTTACGCTAATTCCTACAAACATTTATTCGCAGGTTATTTTCAACCTTACGAACAAAACAAGTTTGAATATCCTCTATCTTTTGCCAAGCCACTCAAAGTTTTAATTGAGGCAAGTAATGGAGCATCCGATTATGGCAATAAATTTGGTGAACCCGTAATTGCTGGATTTGCGATTTCATATGGTCTTGAAGACTCTTTGGGTGAACGTCATGAATATGTTAAACCTATTATGTTTAGTGGCGGAATGGGTATTATGGATGCTACAATGCGTCGAAAAAATGATCCCGAAAAAGGTAATCAATAATAAATAGTAAATAATTACAATAATTAAAACTTTTGTGAAATTGCTAGGTATGTTACTGGTGAAGATAGGTGGACCAGTATATCGAATTGGTGTAGGCGGTGGTGCTGCCAGTTCAGTAGAGGTACAAGGTTCAAGTAGTTCTGACCTGGACTTCAATGCTGTTCAGCGTGGCGATGCTGAAATGGAGAATAAACTAAACCGTGTCGTTCGCGCCTGTATAGAAATGGGAAGCAATAACCCAATCGTTGCAATACACGACCAGGTAAAATTTACATCAATTTATACTTACTTTAATCTCATCCCTACAAACACATGGTTACAACATATACATAGCAATTCCATTGATTGAGACTTCAGTTTACAGAAGAATTTCGTCATTTCTTCTAAAGTTCCAGCGGCAGAATATTACAAGGGAGGGAGTTAGTCAAAAGTTGTAAGCGTGTTTCAGTCTTTTTATGCGCTTAATTACTTTCATTTTCGTTAAGATTTCGACTTTCAGTGCATTGTCGAGTGTGCATTTTCATAAAGCGAGAAGCTAGATAAGATCTTACTTTTCAGTAGGACCTACTATTTCCCTTTTGTTTCTGAGAGTGCAAAACAATATAAAATGTACATTTCTAAATTTTGAAAAAATCGCTTTTTGGTGTAACCATTGTGAAATGTATTTTTATATCGTGGCCGTAGTTATCTAAAGGCACATACATATACATATGTACTCAGGTGCTTAGTATTATATTTTTGTTTTTCAGAAATTTTAAAATTTATTTATTCAAATTCTAAGTTATGTACATAATTAAAGTTAAAGACAATTAATTTAGTTCTTATTATAAATTAATAGTATAATTTTACAACTGTGTATTTTGTCTGATAAGCTACTACTAAAAAACTAGTCTCTCCGACATAGATGAAGAGCTGAACTCAATACTTAAAACCTTTTATATACTGCTCGCAAAAGTCAAAGTATTGAGTTTATCATTAAAGTTTGTCGCTCATATATGTAGATGTTCATTTAATCTTTTCTAATTTTGATTGTCTTAGACATTTAAATTATTTCGAGAGGGTTTTCTATAAATGCTAGTAAAAGTAAAACAAAAACATTATCGCGGCCGAGTGAGCTGTTGTAACTGTGTCTTAACCTTTTTCTTAAATAATGTTTGCTAATTTGTATAAATTTACCTTAAATTAAATTATTTCGTCTCATCAGGGTGCTGGCGGTAACGGTAATGTTTTGAAGGAGTTAGTGGAACCCGGTTTTGCAGGAGCAATAATTTTTTCAAAAGAATTTCAATTGGGCGATCCTACGATAAACGCTTTAGAGTTGTGGGGTGCAGAATATCAGGAAAACAATGCTTTAATTTGCAGACCTGAACATCGCAAATGCTTGGAAGACATTTGTTTACGTGAGCGCTGTCCAATTAGCATTGTTGGTGTTGTCACCGGAAACGGAAGAGTCACATTGGTTGAAAGTGAGGCCATATTTGAACGTGCTTTGGAGCTGAAAGATGACCTTAATTCATTGGGTCCCATACCATTTGATTTAGAGCTAAAATATGTGCTTGGAGATATGCCGAAAAGAGAATATAAATTGGACCGGACTCCTGAAAAGTTAAAACCCTTGTCGTTAAATACAAATTTTGATAGAGATGAGTGTTTGAGTCGCATTTTACGCATGTTAGCGGTTGGAAGCAAACGCTTCCTTACCAACAAAGTTGATCGGTGCGTAACGGGTCTTATTGCTCAGCAGCAGTGTGTAGGTCCATTACACACTCCTTTAGCCGACTATGGCTTAACTGCAATATCATACTTTGGTAAAGAAGGTATAGCAACTTCGATAGGTACACAGCCTGTAAAAGGTATAATTAATTCAGCTGCCATGGCTCGTATGTGCGTAGCGGAAGCTATATCAAATTTAGTTTTTGTTAAAATTACTGAATTAGCCGACGTAAAATGCTCTGGGAACTGGATGTGGGCAGCTAAATTACCTGGGGAAGGTGCTCGCTTATATGACGCTTGCAAAGAAATGTGCGAAATGATGAAAGAACTTCATATTGCAGTTGACGGCGGAAAAGATTCGCTATCGATGGCTGCAAAAGTCAATGACAAGATTGTAAAATCACCGGGCACTCTTGTGATTTCCACATACGCTCCATGCCCAGACATCACCGTTAAAGTTACTCCAGACCTAAAAGGTCCTGCGATGTCGCAACAAACTGCGCTGGTGTGGATAAATATAGAGAATAAGTTCCGTCTAGGAGGATCTGCTCTAGCACAGGCATATTCCCAGCAGGGTAACGAATGTCCTTCTGTGTTGCGATGTGATGTTCTTGCAAAAGCTTTCGCCACTACTCAAACTTTATTGCAGCAGCAAAAACTCTTAGCTGGGCATGATATTAGTGACGGCGGTCTTTTAATTTGTTTGTTGGAAATGGCTTTTGGTGGTTTGAGCGGAATTGACATTGATTTAAGTAATGCAATGATCAAGTTGAAACATGCTTACTTCGATGAAGCTGCAAAAACTATTGGAAAAGAAGAATTGGCAGTCTTGTATGCAGAAGAATGCGGTTGGGTTGTAGAGGTGCCAATAAATTTGCTATCCGAAGTACAGGATGCCTACACCGAGAAGGGCGTACCAAATTATTACCTGGGTGTTACAATGGGTTATGGAGTAAAGTCGGTCATTATTGTAAAAAATAATACCGATATCATCCTTCAAAGTGAGGTAGAAACACTATTGAAAGAATGGGAAAGAACCGGTTTTGAAATAGAAAAGCTTCAGTCTAACCCAGTTTGCGCTGTGGAAGAATATAATTCTTTAAGTTTCCGCTCTCCTCCAAATTATTCCTGTGCACTGGATTTGAATGCAGAAATTTCAATGCTGCGCGCCTCAAAAGTTGTAAAAGTTGCAGTTATTCGCGAAGAAGGTGTTAACAGTGATAGAGAAATGATGGCGTGTCTAATCAAAGCTCATTTTGAGGTTCATGATGTAACCATGTCCGATTTATTGTATGGTAAGTTTAAAACCTATTTCTACAACTACGTTTTTATGTTTACCAAAAATACTTTAAATGTTTATGTCTTACAATTGTTGATTGTTGGTTATTTATATTATATGTATGCAGTCTTCAAAATATAAATAAATTTTCCCAATAAAATTGGTCATTTCCATTTGCCTGAAATACAGTACGTTTACAACTGTTTAGCTGGATAAACATATACGATTTCTTCATAAACATATATTCATAAATACATAGAATTAAAATGCCCGGCCCGACGAAAAAAGAGGTTCTTTTTCGTTGAAGAAGCGAATCCATATAATAGTTTTCAAACCACTTTCGCTTAAAGGGAATTTTTTCCCAACAAGAAGCATGGTACATTTAAAACATATTTTTTTATCCTTACATACTTACTTTACTGACGTAGACACCGCTTACGCGATTATAGTCGATTTAACAACATTTCACCATTCGTTTCTTCTTTTTGCTGTTTGGCGCCAATTGGAAATACCAAGTACAGCCACGTTCATCTCTACCTGGTCTTTCCTTCCTCTACTTCCACCGGCGGGTACTGCATCGAAAACTTTCAAAGATGGAGTATTCGCATTCATCCGGGTCTCATGGCCTAGCAAGCATAGCTGGTGCTTCTTTATTTACTGAACTATATCAATGCCACCGTATCACTCGTACAGCTCATCGTTCTGCTACATTCGCCGTTGCCAACGCGCAGAGGACCATAAATCTTACGCTAAACGTTTTTCTCGAAAACTCCTTGCGTCGACTCACCACTTGTTGTCATCGTTCATGCTTCCGCAGTCCAAAGTAGTAGCTGTTGGGAAGAGTGATTCTGCGCTAGATTTCATGGCTGACATTATTATTGTTGTTAATGCTAGTTCCTGAATAGACGAAATTATCTACTACTTCAAAGTTATGACTGTAAACAGTGACGTGAGAGCCATATATCGATTTCGATGGCTGTTTATTTGATGACATGAGATATTTCGTCTTGTCCCATTCGCTTCGTTTCTTTATCAAGCCTGGATAAAGCAGAACTGAACTAACGACGCAGTTGTTGAGGCCAATAATTTCAATATCATCGGCGGACGCTAGTAGTAGTACACTCTTATAGAAGATTGTACCTTCTCTATTGAGCTCTGCAGCTCTTATTATTCTTGCCGGCATCAAGGCGACTTTAAAATCGTCGAGGAGGTGGTGTGTGTCGATTCTCTTTTCGCAGGTCTTTTCCAAGATTTGGGGCATGGTGAATATCTGGTCCAGGTCTGAAGCCACACTGATAAGATCCAAGAAAGATTGTTGGCGGTGGGCTTCAGTCTTCACACAATACGCTCGACAGGACCTTATAGGCGACGTTAATAAGGCTTATCCCAAAGTAATTGGCACAGACTGTGGGGTCCCCTTTTTTTATGGATTGTGCAGAGCCAACCGTCGGGCATGCTTTCGTCCGACCATATTCTGCAAAGAAGCTGATGCATGCACCTTGTCAGCTCTTCACCGCCATGTTTAAATAGTTCTGCCGGCAGGCCGTCAGCTCCAGTTGTTTTGCTGTTTTTAAGCGGGCGACTGCTATTCGATCTTCTTCATGGTGAGGTAATGGAACGTCTTTTCCATCGTCATCGATTGGGGTTTCAGGTTCTCTATCTCCGGATACTCCATTTTTTACTACTTTTCAACAGATTGAAGTATTCTCTACATAAATTCAATATTCAATATCGGTGGTTAGATCACCTCTTTGTGTCCTGCAAGGGTGTGCTCCGGTCTTGAAACCTTCCTTAAGTCGTCGTATCTTCATAGAATTTTTGAGCATTACCATGTCGGCCAGCTTCTTAAGCTCTTCATACTCACGCATCTCGGTCTCTTTCTTTTTTTCGTCTACAGATGCGTATCTACCCTGCTACAAGATAATTCCAAGTCGATGTTGCGTCCTCGGAGTGTGAACACGTCAGGAACACTGGAGACATGTCTTCCGTCTAACATAACATGATCGATCTGGTTTTGTGTTTTTCGATCAGGGGACAGCCAAGTAGCTTGGTATTTTTTTGTGCTGGAATCTAGTACTACAGACAATCATATTTCGGGCCCCGGTGAAGTCGATCAGCCTCAACCCATTAGGGGATGTTTCATTGTGAAGACTGAATTGTCCAACAGTCTTGCCAAAGATACCGTCTTTGCCCGGGCAATAAAATCGCCAAGCACGATTTTCTCATCGTGTCGGGGGCAGCGCTCGTAAGTATACTCTAGATGCTCATAAAAGGCAACTTTTGCCAAATCGTCCTTCTCTTCCTTCGGGGCGTGGCAAATCCAACAGCTTTATATTGCCGTTGTAGTAAATTTCCCAAGGACCCACCTTCTTCCGTCTTTGTCCCGACCAGCGCATTTCTTGGACGGCGGTGATGTCAGCCCTTAACTTTATGGGGACATCAACCAACTGGGTAGCGGTACCTTCTCAATTAAGGGACCGGAAACTTGAGGTGCATGCCCTCAAATCGTGGTCCTTAATTCGTTTGCGGGGGTCGTCAATTGAAAGAGGGTATCTCATCCGAGGCGTTGTAAATTTTTTTATCCATTATTTTGAAAATACCACAATAACTCACAAACTAATGAGTCGAAATTTTAACACATTTTTTAGAAACGTTCTAACACATACGTATACAGTTTTAAAATATTAAAATAAAAGTTTAATCAAGTATTGAAATATATATAAAATTATCTTTTCAATTTATAGGCAAAACTCATTTGGATCAATACCGTGGCATTGTATTCCCTGGAGGATTCAGTTATGCTGATACATTGGGCTCTGCTAAGGGTTGGGCTGCTAACATTATGTTCAGTGACTTACTTGCTCCGCAATTTCAAGCATTTAAACAACGGCAAGATGTTTTTTCGCTTGGAGTGTGTAACGGGTGCCAGCTTATGAGTTTAATCGGATGGGTAGGACATTCCGAAGCGACTAATAAGCAAGTTATTGATGTTCCTGACATTGCCGTACTACAGAACAAATCCGGCCGCTTTGAATGTCGTTGGTCTTCAATACGAGTTGAGGACTGTAAAGCTATAATGCTTAGTAAATTGAAAAATTCTGTTTTGGGTTGCTGGATAGCTCATGGCGAAGGAAGATTTTCATTCCGAGATAATGCTGTATTGAATGAATTGAAAACCAATCGCTGTGTCGCTGTAAGCTATGCTGATGACAATGGGGTAGCAACTGAAGCTTATCCAATGAATCCGAATGGAAGTATTGGCGGCATAGCTGGTCTTTGCTCCCTGGACGGTCGTCACTTAGCATTAATGCCTCATCCTGAGCGTAGTAGCGCAATGTTCCAATGGCCTTACGTTCCAGCTAAATTTAAAATTGATTCCCCGGATAGCCCATGGCAAATAATGTTTAACACTGCATATGAATGGTGTTTAAGTAATTAAATTATTATGTATAATAAAATGTAATAAAGGTTCCATTTTTTAATTTTCTTTTTACATAATTCTCTATTTTTACATATATATTGTGAGCAGACGCCTTTAACTGTTTTTTAATTTTGTGAGATATTAGCTGTGTTCGTATTCAGTAAAAAATTAGATAGTACTATAGCTGTTTATTTCATCATACATGTCTTGGTTACATTTGAATCCGTTAATATAAATATAGTTTATTTTTTCTGTTTTTAAGTATTTCAATAAATTTGGCAACATTGTGTGCTAACTTCTTTCTCTTTTTAGAAGACTATTAGAAATATTATATTTGTACCTTTATCCTCTGATAGATATAAAGAATGTAGAATTTCATAATCGCTGAAATACAATAAATCTTGAATTCAGTTATAAATAAAAAAATGTCATATACTAGTTGACAATTTTATTAAAATACTTAGGAAAATACTTAAAAGCGGAAAAAAAGTCTAAATTAAAAGGATTCAAATTTAATCTCCAAAGTAAACAGTTGTCGAACATCCTGCTGGCTAATTTTTACTGAATTCTGTTCGTTGAAAACTCAGCAAATTTCTTTCTTTGGGAAAATAAGAAATCTTACTTTGTCAATTTCGTTACTGGTTAATTTTTATTGACACTTCTCAACGAGCATAGCTATTATGAGAGTAGGAAAACAAATGCTAGTTGGCAAAATCGTGGCTTTTAAAAAATGCAAACTGGTCAACTCTTTTTTGCGGGAACCAAAATCAAAATCCAAGGATTTCCAAGCTTATAAATAAAAATCCAATGAAATTTGATCAAAACAAAAATAATTTTGATAATAACTGCGTTCATTGAATGCAAAAATTGGTAATGGTTTCGTAGTATACATTTCAGTCAAAATCCAAGATCCTCTCGAGAGAGTAACGGTGGCAAGGGGCGCTACTACGGTGGACAACGCAAATACCCACGCACTACTTTGACCGCTAGATGAACGAAAAAAATTTTACGAGAGATAGGGAGTTCTTAGCCAGCCCTAGAAAGAAGACCGATCTGAATAGAAAAGAAGACAAGAAGGCCCTGACGCACTCCAAGGTGGCAATGGGGATAGTACACCTGAGAGAGGCCATCTCGGGTGGGGTAGAACCGCAGTGAAGATGAGTAGGAAGTAGTTTGGGGATGACTGCAACTCGAAATACCATAACAGCATCGAGGAAAAAATCCAAAAGACGATTTTAAAAGATAACGCCCCTCCGATTTTGACAAGCCGGCCGGAAAGCGATGCGGCGACGTTGGGATGGCTGGAGGGAGAAGTTCCAAAAGGGGGAAATTTTGAAAATTACAAAATGCAATATTTTGGAAAGTTGTACATTCAATTATAAAAACTTGCTATCGTTTGAAATTTTAATTAAATTCTTTTTTGATGTCCATATCTCAATACTTTTAGAAAATAAATTTTCAAAAATCCAGTATCAAAAAAAACTTTCTTTTATAGAAACTATTTTTCTTAAAATTTTGTCTAATTATCCATAAAGTAAGTCACCAGAAGCAAAAGGAGCATGACGATCGCTCTTAAAAATCAACCGTGGGCCGAACTAAAACCGGCTTTGTCTCTCACTTTTGCGAATTTGGAGGCAAAGTCCTTCATCTACAATAGCTTAGCGAATATGGGTGTGGTTAAAGGTCGTTAACATCACAATTAAAACAAAATTTTTCGCGCTATTGAAAAGCAACTTCAAAGTGTGATGTATCAAATTAATGTTGTTTTTATCTTCTTTTTTATTTAATATTGTTGCGAAAATGCGAGGCGAATGTCAGATGAAAGAGAGAAGCCGATAACTAGTACATTCTAGAAGCGATAAAACAAGAACCTTCCATAGCGAACAATTCGATGCTTCTACGCTTTCGTCTGCGAGCAGCCGACTGCTATATAAAGGCGACACTC